TTTTAAGTAATTATGCAGTCTCAGACACGAATAATTGATTTAGCACGAGAGAATAATCGTAGCGAAAATGTTTAAGTAATTATGCAGTCTCATACACGAATAATTGATTTAGCACGAGAGAATAATCGTGGCGAAAATGTTTAAGTAATTATGCAGTCTCATACACGAATAATTGATTTAGCACGAGAGAATAATCGTGGCGAAAATGTTTAAGTAATTATGNTTTAACACGAGAGAATAATCTAAATGTTTAAGTAATTATGCAGTCTCAGACACGAATTTAACACGAGAGAATAATCTAAATGTTTAAGTAATTATGCAGTCTCAGACACGAATTTAACATGAGAGAATAATCTAAATGTTTAAGTAATTATGCAGTCTCAGACACGAATTTAACATGAGAGAATAATCTAAATGTTTAAGTAATTATGCAGTCTCAGACACGAATTTAACACGAGAGAATAATCTAAATGTTTAAGTAATTATGCAGTCTCAGACACGAATTTAACACGAGAGAATAATCTAAATGTTTAAGTAATTATGCAGTCTCAGACGAATTTAACACGAGAGAATAATCTAAATGTTTAAGTAATTATGCAGTCTCAGACACGAATTTAACACGAGAGAATAATCTAAATGTTCAAGTAATTATGCAGTCTCAGACACGAATAATTGATTAAGCACGAGAGAATAATCATAGTGAAAATGTTTAAGTAATATGAATAGCTGTTAGTTAGATTTAAGTTTACTGAACAATTTGTAACTACTCAAATATGACACGACGGCAGTTTTTTTGTGTAATGAATCGTACAACAAAAAACGACATTTCATTTAGTGAGATATACTTTGAAATCTGTTTTTATAAAAAAGTCTTCTAACGCTTGTATAAATCACCCGCTTTTACCTACATTGTCGTCATACGCATATTCCGTAAGTATTTATGAAAGTTATTTTTTTTATTATTTAGGAATCCGGTAGATGGTATATCTACGGTGTGACCAGCAACGGATACGGTTGCGCTCGGGCGAATCGCCCGGGCGTCTACACTAAAGTCTCGAACTACATCGACTGGATCGACTCGGTGATCGCTACCAACACTCCAGCGCACAACGACACCGAACTCGATGAGAACGAATCGAACGAGGAGTTCTACGCGGACTTAGAAGTCGCAGAGAACCGGCGACACAGAGTAGACACTTGCAGAGGGCACAGGTGTCCCCTCGGCGAGTGCCTGCCGCCTTCGAGCGTGTGCAACGGGTTTCTAGAATGTTCGGACGGCAGCGACGAGTGGCAATGCAGCAAGCCACCCCTAAACAACGCTAACTTAGATCCCGATTAAAACGAACGACTTAGAATAAGCCAGTACTTACGTAGAGTATATTCTCATTCGACTGATATTTTGTAAGTTTGTGTTTTAGCGTTAATTGGCAAACCATAGCGACAATAGATGTATAACATATTTACACTTACCACTTTTTCTATGCCATATAAAACTGTGCGTCTGTTGGGCCGTTTGTATATATAGTTTAGTTTGCGTCCAGTTTTATTATACTATTCAATTATTATTTATATTAGAGTATCCTTGTCCGTGTGAGTCTCAATGTCGGCAGCACACTCGGTGAGATTCAAATGGACGACCACAATCACGATAATAAACTCGTTCAATTATTGAATATGCATTTTTAATTAAAACTTCCACAGTATTCGTATGGTATAAAACGAACAAATTTCTTAAAAATAAATTTTAATCTCTCGACAAATAAATTAACAAAATGCAAAATTTTTCAATACAGCATTATAATTAGGTTGAGAATAGCATAAATAAATAGAATATTCATTCAAATTGTCACTAAACGAACACAATGTAAACTAATCGACATTTATGATGCATAATACTTTTAATTGAATACAAACAAATTAAAATACACAAATATAAATTAGGGCATGTCCTAATTTAAAAAAAAATGACTACTACAAAACTCTGTCGGGTCGATACAAAATATAATATAGTATAATTAGACCAAGATCGAAGCAAATCACGGGGTTATACAATAACGTGTATTTACTTTACATCGTTAGCAAAGAACGAGAGAAAGCCTTCAAAAACACGAGATAATCACACACCACGCAATAACTTACTAGTAAACAGACGCTTGTGGTCCGGGGACCGAAGCGGCGACTGTCTATTTCAGTCAGTCCAGACAATTACGAATCCGTGAACCGGTAAGAGATTTAGAAAATGTGTGAACCGACTCCAAGACCAATACCTGACGGCACTCCAAGCCGACGAGACACGACATACAGCGTACGTAATATCATTACAAAAAAAAAAAAATCCAAAACGTCAAGCACGAATGCAAGGAACATTATTGTATTATTACACAAGAAAAAAAAGACCAATAAATACTGAATACAGTTCACATCTAGATTATAGATTTACAATATTAATTTTAAAGAACTACACGAACGAGCGAAATTATATATAGAAACGAGGATGTTATTATTATATTATTGATAATAATAATAATAATAATGATACAATATGTTATTCGAGAACTCGACCAATATCTTTATGGTTTTATCATAGGTAATGTTCGTGTGCTAATACTATGACACGAGTGCGTCATTCACGGTACATTTAAATCAAACAGTTTACCCTCGTCTCGATACAAAATATTATGTTAATAATAGACGCGACCAGCTAATTCGTTTATTTCAAATGCAAATCGAAAATTGTCAATGATAAAACTCTAAGCACTACCGTTAGTCGGGAAATACACATATACGGCGAGGAGTTCGGCGTGGCGCAATTTCAAAACCTTTTGCATACAAAATGTACTAAGGAGACGTATTGTGAATTACACTCGGTCATAACTGAAGCGTCACGCAGGGAGCATATCACAAATCAAGCGCATCTACGTCATTTGTAGAGGAAGGTATGCTAACTCAACGAAATCAGCTTATATAGTCACTTCGCCTCTTCTATATAATTTAAATCTGTGTCGTATCCGTTCCACGCCTGCGCCGCGCCTTAAGCTATGCGTTCATTGGCCAACTTTATTTTGCTTTGTAATTTTTGCTCATAAATGCCGGCTTTCGGTGCGGGCGGCGCGGATAGTGGACGCAGCACTGAAATCATACAAAGCAAAATAAAATCTGTTGCGTGCGGTGCGTCCGACGCGGGCCAATGGGCGCGTTCTTTTAAGCCTTACGCCGTTTGTGTGTATTTCGCGCCTTAGGTTACAGCAAGTTTACTAAAGACGAGACGAGGTAATAATGTCAGAAGTATCGAGTTCTCGGAAGCGAGTCAGAGTTAGCCCTTGTTCTCGACGGGCGTCGTGGTGAGGCCGGCCGGCTTGTTCAGTACCGTTTTGAACTGCTCGGGGATCGCGTGTTCGGTCTGCAACAAAACAATGTGTTATTAAATACACAAGACGCGGCCGGGAAGAGTTGCTTGTACAATAAGGCAGTTTTAAACCCCAATACTTCTCCGCCTTTTTTTCCTACCTATTCTAGTAACGTCGAGGGGTTATTCTAGATTCATCGAACTAGTAGGTGGGCTCACATGCTAACACTGCCCCAAGCAAGGGCAGTGCTTCGCAGAATCTACCACCGGATCGGAAACGCGACCCACTGAGAAGATCCGACGAGAAACTCAGTGGGCTATGTCTATGGGTTAATTCACTCGTCGAGCTCTTCGTCGCAAACGACGGGTTCGGCGAGGACGGTGACCGGTGCTTGAGGCACCTAAAAGCACCGTTAATCGATCGGGAAGATCCGTAATGACGTGATTAGGGCGACGTCGACTGTTTACCATTCGGTCTACCGGATCAGGTATTCACTTCTCCAAACTCTATACCAAGAAACGAGTGTATTTTCGTATTTGTATATCGACGGGGGAAAGGCTATTTGGTTTCAGCAATATTTTTGCAAATTTCCAGGAGAGCTGTGTAAGTTTAAAATTTGGAAAAAATATCATGACAAACTATCTTCTTCGGATATGTGAATTTGTTAAGCATAATTGAAGTTCAATTAAAAATGTCGATTTTTTTATACTAATATCAAATAAAACGGGCCTTTAATTACAAAGATGTTACGTATTAACCGAAATATCGCCTAAACCAAATAGCCAACTAACCTTTCATATACATATCATTATCTTTTTTATTTCACAAAAGGAATGCACCCACCAAAGGGCTTTAGACCACCTTTGGTTGACTGATAGAGAATGTCTTAGGCATTAAGTCCGCCACTGTACTTTTGTGCATAAAGTTGAAGCAAAAAATAAATAAAACATCGTTTCCTAATTCAGAGAAAATCAATAATGTTTAGTGTTTAGCACACTACAGTATAAAACAATACAAAACCAAAACCGTATTAACATAAACAGTACTCACGTAATCGCCATTGGCCTTGGGTATCAAAACGTTCATCTCCGATGACTTGGAGCTGACGATTTCGACGTCCAGCGATTCCGGCGACAGATATATCTGACATCCGTCGGTCTTGTCGATGGAAACGGTTGGAACTTTGCCCAATACCTTTGAACAGATTAATGCAAAGAATTAAAGCGGGTTAGGGTGGGTAGAAAAGCGACATGTCTTCAACGATGAAGGAATAGTATTGTTTAGCTATATTTGAGACCTTAGAACTTATATCTCAAGGTGGATGGCACGTTTACGTTGTAGATGTCTATGGGCTCCAGTAACCACTTAACACCAGGTGGGCTGTGAGCTCGTCCACTCAACTAAGCAATAAAAAAAAAGTGTAAAAAGAATTAAAAAGAAATTCAGTTTAATTACTAGTTAATGGTGGGGTGGTGTGGGGCCCGCACGGGTAGTTACTATCATCGTGGTTAATTCTGCCGTGAAGCAGTTTAGTGTTGTAGTAGGGTGAGACGATTGTAATACTAAAATTAAGGCTACGGCTTTGTGTATTAAAGAAGAATAGAAAAACTATTTTTACCGCAAAATATAACCTAATCTTTTTATTTATTTATTAGTTAATATGTCAAAAATCACTGCAAGCCCGGTTGTGAGTCAGCATGCTAGTTGCGTGATGGGTGACGACTATCATGTTATGAGGTGGAGCGTGAGTTCATTAAAAATATTGTAGGGAAAAGAAAACGAAAAATAAAAAAAATGCGTAAAACCTTCGTTAATCTTATGTGAATGGAACACCGGCTTTGCGTCTTAAGATGGGAGATTGACAGTATATTCAAGTTAAAAAAATATATGAATATTAAAAATTTTCAGTCAAATAATTATAGATAAACTTGAAACACGATCCCACCAAAGCCAACAATTTCTCCGACGAAACAAACAGATCCATTTTACAAACAATAATTTGTATTCGTCACGTTTTCAGAATTAAGCTTGTAATAAAAAAAAGTCTTCTATAATCAAAAAACTTTATCCTTCAGAAATAGCTTTGAATAATTTTGTTCAACAAAATTATAAAAAAACTTTTTTATTAAATATTTCTGACAGACACATAAAGCAATTCTGCTGTCAGCTGTGATTTTTATCGTAACCGTTTATTTCTAAAAATATTTTGTAATTCTTTTTTTTTTATAAATGCCATGAAGAAAGTGAGATTGACGGTTAATTTAACTTTGTATACAAAGGTTCACAAATAATTTAATGTAAATTACTTTGTTTCGCAATCATGAAAGACGAATGGGAAAGAAATGATGCTGTAGATGTTAGTAATGGTGTTTCATGGAGTTGGGAGCAATATTGGAGCACGGTTCTACACCAATACGGTGTGCCCTTTATGCAATTTTGGATCAGTTTTTTTTATGGACTTTATACGCATTTTACTTTCACAGCCTTGGTATGTTTTTCTTTTATATATTTTTAGTTTTTTATCCCGTACCTAATCGCTGGTAGTCTATGGGGTTATTCCAGCTAATCACGGGCCGGTAGGTCAGCTCAATGACCCTAGCAAGAGCAGTGCTTCGCTGAATCTACCACCGGATCGGAATCGCGACCCGCTGGGATGATCCGGCGAGAAACTAAGTGGGTTGTGTCTATGGCCTAGGTTGCGCATCCAATTTTTGACCATATCGACGAGTTCAACGAGATAGGTGACCGGTGCTTGGAGGCTTAAAAGCACCGAGAGTGATTCCGAAGGGTTCTACAAAATATTTTTGGACGACGGCGGCTTTGCTTTGCCGGATGCGTGGTCGAATATGTAGTTATTGGGGATGAGATCGTGTCGCGTAGCTTTATCAAAGAAGCGTTCTGACGCTTTCTATATTTTTTTTAGTATGGCATCTCGTCTAGTGTCTTAATCTACCCAGTGTTAAGTGATAACGTTCCAAAGACAAATAAATTCGACATCAATTCACAAATAATTTTTGTTGAAGGACTTAAAATCAAACAAATTTATTTATGTATAAAATGTATTATTATGCAGGCATTATATTTTGTTAAATATGTCCCGACGGCAATTTACATGTACACGCTGGTGAAGAATATATATTTGACATCGCGGGAAAGAATAAAACGAAAGCAAAACGAACTTGAAGATATTCAGCTACAGGTTATTACTATTTTATTATTCGTGCTCATACGGACCGACTTTATAGAGTTTATTATTCAGGCTTATCAAGATATTTGTTTGAAGGGTAGATTCAGATAGTGAATACAAAATTGTGTGTACGTGATGCCGAATTCACGGAACGAACGGAGCAATTGCGTAGAGACGCGGAACGCTTGAGGAGGGTGCGGGCGCGCGTGCGTGACGTCATAGCCACGGACGAGGCGCTCCGACGTACACTCGAAGGCGCCGCTTGGGACAACGACCACGACGCTCTATCTCATTCGACCCCGCAAGAAAGTAAGTTGATTTCAATTTATGAGACACACAAGCAGAAAACGATATCTAAATTTAATGAAAAAATGATTTAACTATACGAATAGTATGTCTCCTGTAGACGAAATTACATTACTAAATCCAATTTGTATTAAAAAAAAATACATATGTTTATTTATTTTGCTTCAATAACCTTGTTTTACTCAAGATACTTCTACTTTATTTAGATATTTTTCGAAATAATAGTTTCAATCACCCTTTCCTCTTAGACTAAAATAACTTGAACTTTGAAACTTTCGTAGTGCAGATGAGAAAATACAAAAAAAAAAGCACACTGAGTTTCTCGCCGGATCTTCTCAGTGGGTCGCGTTTCCGATCCGGTGGAAGATTCTGCAAAGCACTTCTTTAGGGCCAGTATTAGCAACACTTCGGTTTGAACCCCGTGAGCTCACCTACACATCAAGGCGAAGTTGAAATAGCCTCTCAAGACTATCGGCATGGTAGCAATAAAAAAAAATACATGTTTAAAATTCCAGATCGGGAGTTCCTTATACGATTATTAAAAGAAATGAAATGTGACCAGGTCAATGTATCTGAACGACAACCTGGTAAAATGGACTGCGGAGAGCAGCTGCCAAATGAGAGTCCATCGCCAGAAAACAGCATTTACTCATCGCTCAGCGACGGAGACCTCCGCCAAGACTGTCGCGTGAAGATTGTCAACGTTACAAATGTGTATAAAGTTGCTTATTTGAAACACTATATAAAACAAAAAAGACTGAGGCGTGCAAACCGTCATGCCATGATCAAGAAAAAGGTAATGAGTCTAAAATCTTTTTTTTTTTATTGCTTAGATCGGTGGACGAGCTCACAGCCCACCTGGTGTTAAGTGGTTACTGGAGTCCATAGACATCTACAACGTAAATGCACCACCCAGATTGAGATATAAGTTCTAAGATCTCAGTGTAGTTACATGCCCCACCCTTCAAACCGAAACGCATTACTGCTTCAAGGCAGAAATATGCAGGGTGGTGGTACCTATCCGCGCACACTCACAAGAGGTACCACCAGTAAAAAGTAAAAATGTATACATTTTAGAATAATATTTTTTTTGTTTATTTCAATTCACACATCTCATCAATATTTTAGATGGAGAGCGTAAAAAAGCTTCTAGAAGATTGGCAAAACACTCTTAGTATGGTGATCAATAGTGAATTGACTATACTGAATATCGACACGCATTCGGCCGATGTTACATCTCGTAAGGCCCGGGGAGATTACACGAAGCCAAACGATTCCTCAGATTCAGGAGACAGCGATTTGAGGAACAGCAGTAGTGATTTGAACAGTGAATACGCCGCGAACTGGACGCAAGACAATAAGGCCAGCCCGTGCATACACACAGGGGTTAGTATTATCAATTTTTTTTTATCGAAATTTAAAACTTATCCATATACAGGGTGTGGTGTGAAACCACCAGTCAATATTTATTTATTGCCTATATTAGCAGACGAGCCTGCGGCCCGCTTCATGATAAATAGTCGCTGTCACTCATGGACATTAGCAATAGTGCCAGGGGCACAACCAAGCTGCTTCTTCTTCTTTCTCCACCTTATCCCACTAAGTGGGGTTGGCACAGCAAATTTTTCTCTCCCATTCTCTTCTATCAGTCGTCATCTCAACACTCACTCATCTCTCCCTCTCTCATATCGTCATTCACACACTCCATCCATGTCTTCTTTGGTCGACCTCTTCCCCCTCTCCCTTGCACTACCAATTCCATACATTTCCTAGTCACATGTATCTTCTCTGTACACATCATATGTCCATACCACGCTAACCGTCCGCTCTTTAATTTGTTGATTACCGGGGCTACTTTCACACTTTCTCTGATATACTCATTCTTTATCCATACAACAACCTTGGCACAACCAAGCTGCTGCCAACTGCAAATCTCTACGAGTATACAAACGCAAAACAATATTAACATAGGCCTATTACCTACACCTCAATTTATTTATAGTGTCTCGAAATGCACTTCTGTTTAGTGACCCCGTATCTAAAGCAAGGATCCTCACGTCAGTCTATTTTATAGTGTACATTTCTGCACTTAGAACCGACGTGTACCTAATTTCTGATGAAATTGAAATGTTGTTTCAAGCAGGATCTTTTAGACACAGCTGAATGCGACTTCCAACAGTACGGTGACGTCTGCTCCCATTCTTCGCAATGCGAATACAGCAGTCACGTAACGAGACCTGCGTTGATGTCGATGATGCCGGCGGAGCCCGGCCGTCTATTGACCATCGAAGAAGTTAAAAAAGAAAACGAATACGACGAAGAATGTTCTGACAATATTGCTATTTGAAGTTTTTCTAAATTAATATATTTTTATTTGCATTGCTTGTTTTTTTTTTTTTCATTTACGTAATATTTTCATATTTCTTCATCTTCTTCTTCAAGCATTTGTTTATGAAAACGTTGTCACAAATAATGTGGAAAAATGAAATAAAGCCATTGGACGTAACTTCTCGGGATCCCCCAAAAAGTCCCCTGAAAAATCTCAGTAAATGACCACCATTTTACTGAGGTTATATTTCATCCCATATCATGTCATTTAATTTAATTTCATCCCAGTTGATTAATGTCTCATATTATCATTTTTCATAAAAATAAGAATATAAAAAGAAAATAATAAATTAAAATAAGACATGACTTAAAGGTCTTAGTTACCAGGTCATAAAATTCCTTAAAAAAATTGTACTCGCGACTGACCTGCATCTGTACGGACTGGCAGTTGACGAACTCGATGCTGGATACGAGGTTGTCGAACACGACCGCGCACTTAGTGCACGAGTCCAGCACGACCCCGTTGACTTTCCCGCGGACCGTCAGGGCGGAGTCGCGACAACGGAACATGTACACAACGTTGTTCATGTCCGCGTTCTCGACCACCAAATTGGAGTTGCCCTTTTGGTACTCCTGCAAAGAGAATTTAACATTTCTTTTAAGACATTGCTACATTAATTTATTCTTGTCTATTAATTTTCTTTTGGCGAAAATGCCCGTGTCAATTGTAGACCGATGGTCAACTTTGGGGATATTCGTTAAAGAATCCCAAAAAGTTCCTGAAAAAAGAGCAGTCGCTTTGATTTTTAGACCAATAGGTCAAATCTTAATAATTATAAAATAGGACTAAATGTAATTTAATTATATTATTAGCTTTGCTGTGGATTACTTAAGTTTTAATGGTATTTGAATGAATTTCACTACAATTTCATTTACTTCCAGTTTTTCATGAAGATCATTAAGATCCTTGAAATTGCTAACGTGTCTTACCAATGAAAACATAATAATTTAAGGACTGTAATAATATTATGTTCAAAACATTTTAGCAGTTTCCAAATGATTATATTACAAACTAGCTGTACTCGTCCGCTTCGCTGGGCCTTTAAAATTAACATTATTATTTCTCACTACCACAAAGATTCTCATCATTAACGCCCCCGCAACTGGTGTAGTTAGTCCAACACTCATATAAATATTAGTCTATCCATTAAGTAAATGTATTTTCTACATGGATACAAAATTTCAAGTCAATCGGATGCACGGTTCAGTAATTATAACGGAACATCCGTAAAAACTACTGTAGATTTATATATTAGTATAGATAAAAATGATATTAGAGCACTCACGATAAGCCACTTCTTGCCGTCCCGAGTGAAGACGGGCGGCTTGTCTAGTTGTCCGGCGCCGGGCTGCGGTAGCGGCTTGTGTCCGGCGGCCGACGTCGCTTTGAACGGCGCCGGTCCTTGACGGAGAGTCGGATTCTTGTGGGTCTGCATGTCCGGCGTCACTTTGCGCAAGGCTAGTTATGACAAAATAAAAAAAAAGATATAGAGCATGTGGGAACAGTCTTTGTGGGCACTTCGAGCTATGCTAATTTCTTCAGTAGCATTATAAACGCTCTATTGTTCACTAGCGGAACCCGGTCACGTTGCTCTGTAACTATCACTAATTGCCTTTAAATGAAAAACACTTTATTTTTATGTTACTCGCAAGCTACCTATCGTTCGCAGATGGTACTATTCACTGGCAGTAGAGCGTGTTGTGAGCCCACACGATGCCTATTTCTGCGGTGAAGCAATAATGTGTTTCGGTTTGAAGGATGAAGCAGCCGTTTTACTATAAAACAGAGTTAGGATTCATGTTTTCAGACTCCAGCAACCACTTAAAACCAAGTCGGCCGTGATCTCATCACGAATCTAAACAACAAATAAAAACCCTAAAGTTTCCCTCATAATCCCATGAATGATAAATGTACACAGACGACAGTTTTTTTATTTATACGTGTAGATTACACCTTAATCTTACCACAAAATTCTATATTAATTTGACAATTTAACCCAGATAAGCCTGAAACTAAAATTTTCTGAAAATTTTGAAAAAAGTTACATTATTTAGTTTATTAGATCTTATGCAACATAAAAAAAAATATGAAAAAAAAATTAAGTGTAAGGCTTTCAGGGAAATAGCCGTCCTATATGTAGGACAGTAGGATAATAAGAGGAAATAAAAGACCATTTATGACAAAACAGAATGTAATCAAAAAGTGTAGTTTATTAGATAACTATTGATTATATTACCCATTGTTATATGTAATTTACTAGATTAACACTATTTATGAATGATATGTTTCAAAACACTTGACACACACTCCAACATCACATTTCTTGCAACGTNAATATAACTTTTTATACATACCTGTCATTTGCCATGTCTGCAACGCACTTTTATTACACACTTTTATGGTAAAATATAAGGTAAAAACTGTTAAAATAACTGTCTTTTTATTTTTTCTAATAAAGCTGACACGTTTCTTACTGCAAATCATAAGACTAAATAATCTTAGATAAAGAGGGTATTCTGATTTTTTTTTTATATCTACTGTCCTAAATATAGGACAGTAGGCTTATCTGGGTTAAGGCAATCTAAGGCATACCGTGCCACGGGTTATGGTCGGATTGGCGACGGGTCGTAAAAATAATTAAATTACAACGTTGGGTAGGTATATTTTGGGCTGACTCTATTTTATGAGATAAACGACGAAAAAAAGATTTGTCAACGAATATTCATTAAAGCCTTTGGGATGTAAAAGCTTAATTAAAATTAGCCCACCGCCTCTGATACAGCAGTCACCAAAATATTCGCAGTTGTTTAAAATGTAATTACAAGATTTATTTGTAATTAACCACCAAAAATAAATGTTACGAGATTGTTTGCTCTCAGCATATTACTTATTTTAACGACTAAATATTATTATACGCTGCTACTTTATACACGGAACACTCACTCGATAAACTCGCATGCTCAGATATTAACGCATGATTTTTATGTTATTGTACATATCAGTAAATATGTGATAGCTTTGTCCAAGTTAAAAGTGAAAAATAAAATTTGGTTATACACCTTAAAAATCTGTTGCTATAAATTTTTTCCTCTACCTAATAATATAAAATAATAGCCTAAGGGGCTAATCCAGCTACTCACGGATCAGTAAGTGAGCTCACGGGCTCAACTTGAGTTAGTTTGCTAACATTAACTCTAGCAAGAACAGTGCTTCGCCGAATCTACTACCGGATCGGAATCGCATTACTATAATTAAAGCTATCTTATAAAAAAAAATATTGCTTAGATGGGTGGACGAGCTCACAGCCCACCTGGTGTTAAGTGGTTACTGGAGCCCATAGACATCTACAACGTAAATGCGCTACCCACCTTGAGATATAAGTTCTAAGGTCTCAAGTATAGTTACAACGGCTGCCCTATCCTCCAAACCGAAACGCATTACTGCTTCACGGCAGAAATAGACAGAAATAGCGCAGAGCAATATCTAAATATTTAATCTTGAGTTAATTATTATCAGTCATCCGCAAAATTATGTGGGATCCAAAACATCGGAATTAATATAATGATAATAAAAAAACGTGAAATTAAGCCGTAAAAGTAGCTTTAAATATTAATACACTGCTACTACTATTAAATAGTGTGCTATTTTCTTATTAATACGTAATTAAAATCTAATAGTTTTTATAACAGCACTATGTATTAATCAACGTGTTTAAAATATAAAGACACGTCCACACAGAGAGCAAAAAAAAAGTTCTATTTAGTTAGCAGAACACGTTTTAAGTACCTACAGAGCATGAATAGTAATTAATTAAGATTATTTTATTCGTAGCTACGTCTGTACATTACAGAAAGTAAGAGAATGTAAATGTATTGTGATTTATTCAAAATTATGAATCCGTTTATAGCTTTGTGTTTTTTTGGAAGACTCGTTACAGTAAAAAGATGTCTAGTTGCTGGTGCATTGTCTCTCGTCAAACATTTTTATTTTATACATTTAGAATACATTGCTCTCTAACTAAAATCAATTATCATATCAACCTAAACATGCTCTATAGCCTAAATTCAATTTTCTTATTTACTAATAATTTGTTGTACGTACTCGTGTTAAGTATGTAATGGGAGTGTCGTGTTTAATAGTAATAACAATTACTTTTATTATATAATTTGGCATAACAGACATAAAACAAATAATAGTTGAAAAGTAATTACATGGGTCATGGACATTAAAAGAGTCATCAAATTACTTGACTACAATTTTTTAAACACCTAACTTTGCATTTGAAATCGCTAAATATTATTCTGACACTTTTTTAAACTAATATCAACGCATCATGTCGTAATCGTTGTTTTTTATTATATATTTCATAGAATATATATTAATACGTGAAGCAAAAACTTTGTATCCCTTTTTACGAAAATTGCGCGGACGGAGGAGTATGAAATTTTCTACACTTATAGAGAACACAGCGGAGAAGAGCTAATATTTTTTTTAAATAATGCTTAAAAGATACATTAAATCAATAAAGAAAACATTACACACACTACATACCATGTATTTGACGTACACACGCATGCATACTATTTATTGTCAAACTTTTGTTATTGACGTCTGTTGTCAAATTGAGATTAAATATTGTTTGTCTTTGTTAATATTATTTAAAGTGTAGTCTTGGCAAAATTTGTGATTATAGAAGTATAAAATACAATCATAATCGTGTACAAACTTACAATTCCAATTAATTATAGTCGAATTTCGACTACTGCGGGACCTCTAGTTTCATAGAATTACACCATAGTTAGATCGACCGACATTTTATCCTCGAATGACGTTAAACGTAATGAAATTCCTTTTAGTGTGCTTAGTGCGAGTTTTTTTATTATACTTTCTCGATAGCTTAAAGGTTAACTCAAATTAGTATGCGGTTGGAACAGCGCCCTTAGCGGCAAACGTAGGCAAACGTTCCAACTCCATACAAATTGTAGTTA